CAGCTCGTCTTTCCGGTGCATTGTCTGGCGGCGGGGGTGCTGTTGTGCCAGCGAGTCCTCGTCAAACGTCCGTGCCTCTGAAAAAGGCAATCTGGGTCAAGGCCAGCCCGCAGTCCGCCTGACACGAACAACTCAACGGCGTAAACACGCGCAGCGCCTCTCTGGCCCACGTGCAGTGAGTCAGCAGCGCACGTGACAGCGAGCCGGCGTCTTCGTGTCTGGGGGTCTGATGTGGCCCAGCGGCGACCCCATTGGAGGAATCTGCCCTGACGACCAGCGGCGCTTCTGATTGGACATTTTGGTTGGACCCGGTGCAAATAAAAGAAGCCCTGCGGCGCGTCGCGATCGGCGGTCCGTTGAGAGAGGAGTCCCCATGTCGGAGAGCCGACATGTGTGTGAGTCGGCGGTCTTAGGCGAAAAGTTGACCTATGTGTTAGAGAGGAGAGCTCGGCTCTTCGAGTCTCTGTCGGCCCCAGTGCCGAAATTGTAACGCCTCTGTATATATGCTGTACATAAACCTTGTTTAACTCACCGTCGTCTCGTCCGCTCGTCTTATCAGCTCTGCGCAGAAGCAGTCGCGAGCTGAAAAACATACGCTACCAAACGGCTGGTGACCTTCCCGACGGAGTTGAAAGCAGTGGCGCCTTCGGGACCGTGTTGGCGTCCCCGTCTTTCGTAACAGTCTGCAGCTGAATGCCTTAGCCACTACACCAACATGGTGAGTGAGGTGCCGTGCCAATATGTCCTTCTGCACCAAATAGGGCTAAGTAGAGCTTGATTACGCTATGGAGAGAGAAAAAGCACGACTTTACCATTCTTTACGAATCAGCGAGTTAGTGTTTGGACATATAAGCCATTGCGAGTAGCGCAACTAGACAGGGCATCCTATAGAAAGATCCATGCAGGCGCAACATTGTTACAACACTAAATAGCAAACACAATTGAGCCAAATTGCAACATTCTGTATAGATCCTGGTGAAGGCATCAAAAATGTTTTGGCAGCACAGTGATGGCCGAGTAGGCAACGTGCACAATTTAGTTATTCCATGCTACCAATATTGCCTGATTTCTGCTCATTCGATCGTTTATACAACCACGCGCGCACGGGTTAAACAAGAACAGACGAGACAAGGAACAGTGAGTATCTTTCAAGAATAGACGAGGCGACGTCCAAACATTCGGCCACTATGTTCCTACAACGGAAGTTTAAAAGCCCAGCTAAGTATCAGCTACTCCTACCGCATCGCTTACAAATTAACATATTACTAAAGTTCAAAACGCAGAAAATGCCTCTCATGATTTACAATTTTCTTAATCAGAAAAAATATTATTGAAACGCACACATTCTGAGTGATAGCACGTGGCATCAACTTAGGTACTCTCGCTCCTCATGGAATAACTTTCTGGCTGAGTGTTACACGCCATCGCACGAAACACCGGGCGTGAACAGCACAAAACGCAATGCGATGTTCATGATGACCTCAAGCGACGTTGTGATCATCACATGGCGGCCTCGACAATCGAAATGTGCATTTGCGCTACAAACAGCACTTTCTTTGCATGTATGGTCCCATTGCCGCAGGTATAGTACTTAAAATTGTTAAGTTTCCCTTCTTTCGAACGCAGCTATTTAGAGTATGCACTCGCAACACACAAAGCACATAGTTTCACGAAAGAAACAAGTGTGTCAGTCATCTCGAAGCTGAACCCTGCGAGAACCTTTCAACGGGTGATTAGGTTGCACTTGCGTGCACACACACCAAAAACTAACGTGCAAACTTCATTCAGAATAACGTACCATGTGTCCTCTGCTTCAAATTTGTGGGCAACATTGACGACTTCATACAGGCTGCCACCATTTAAAATGGCTGCCTCGACAACAGAGCAAACGCAAGCTTCCCGCGCTCCAAGTCCAGATATGGTGGCATAGTTCGGACTCTGACATGTTTCTCCCCTTTATTCTTCACCCAGTACAGGGTAGCAAACCGGATGTGCGTCTAGTTGACCTCCCTGCCTTTCCTTGCATCTTCATTACTCTCTCTCTCTGACATGTTTCTCCGCCGTACGAGCGCGCAGTTTTTCATAAGCTGTAGTCATAGGGTGCAGTTAAAATCGAAAAAGAAAGAGCGTTAGTGCGGCCCGCGATATTTGAAAGTGTCCTACTCAAATAACTTTTGCGATGTTGACCCTGAGGTGGAGAACGGTTCTGCTCGCTGGTTTGTTCTTGTCCAAATGGGCGTACTTAGATACACCCTTCCGCCCCCCTCGAAACTTCAAATGCGAAGCATTTCTCACCGAACTTCGGCCACTCTGCGCGTATCTATCTATCTATCTATCTATCTATCTATCTATCTATCTATCTACCTATCTATCTATCTATCTATCTATCTATCTATCTATCTATCTATCTATCTATCTGTCTATCTATCTAGCTGCCTACGACTTTAAGGTTGTTTCGTTCACATGGCATGTTGCAAAGCTGGTATGGTATGACATGATTCCATGGCAAACACAAGCGACAGTCCCTAACATGAAAATCATGACAACATGACTACATGCCAAGCTCGAGATTCACTCGCAGGCGTTTCGTTAGCTTCACTTATAACAAAGTTGGTATTACGGGACGTGAATAGTTGACGAAGGTATCGTACTGGTGCAAACAGGATAAACATGAGATGTGTGTCATATAACATGACTACATGCTACGTTCATGATGCGCTCGCGGCTATTTTGTTAGCTTCACTTATACCAAATTTGGTAATATGGGACGTGAATGGATGACGAAGGTATGACACCTGTGCAAACATGATAAACATGAGATGCGTGTCATGTAACAAGACTACATGCTACGCTCATGATGTGCTCACGGCCGTTTCGATAGCTTCACATGTACCAAGCTCGGTATTAAGTGATGCGAACGAACGACATAGAAAAATGACAGATAAAAACATAATATACACGACATGCGTGTCATGTACAACCATGACTACATGTCACACTCATTATGTGCTCCAGTCGTTTTGCTAGCTTCACATGTGCCAAATTTAGTATTACGTGACGTCAGTAGATGACGAAGATATGTGACTGGTGCAAACATGATAATCATGAGATGCGTGCCATGTGAGAACATGACTACAAGCCACAGTCAAGGTGTCAAAACGTTTCGACGGGACGTCGTGCGCATGCTCAGCGGCGTTCATTTCGTCGTGTCACGCCGGCGTTGCCACGCCAGGCACCGGTCCTGCCATATACTCGAAGGCGTGCGCCTGCGGTGCGTTGCTTTGACGCATGCACGTTTTAGCGCGTCCGGCGTCCATCCGCCACTAAAAGAGGGCGACGCAGTGTTTTCTGGTTAACGCATCAGCGCGAAATGCAGCATGTCGCACTTCCCACCGTTTGCCGTTTTTTACACGCCGACGGACGCTCGTCACACCGTTCGCGCCTGGCGTCAGACTATAGAGTGCTCGCGTTTTGCTAACGTAGCGTCGCTGGACCCAGCGTGCGCAACGTAACCACTACATTGGAGTTGATTGGACCCATCATGATGCGCTCGCGACCGTTTTGCTAGCTCAACATATAAGAAATTTGGTGTTAAAAGACTTCATTGGTTGAGGTGGTGGTGGTGGTGGTGGTGGTGGTGTTGAAGCAGGCGGGCTTAGCCTTGCCTGCATGGCCGGCAATCGTTCGAAAGTATATGAATGGTGCAAACATGACAATCTTGACACGCGTGTCATGTGAGGACATGACAATATACAACGCTCATAGCATGCCCGCGGTCGTTTCACCAGCTCCACATATACTAAACTTGGTATCACGTGACATAAATAGATGACGAAGGTAAACGACACATCCAAAAATGATAATCATGTCACGAAAGTCATTTACGGCGTCATTTACCTCCACCTTAAAACGTCGTACTGATTTTAAAGCATCATATAAACTTTTCTCACTCGTTCTACACATATCATCGATTCCCACTGTACGTGGGATCTGCCAATTATTTTTGTTCAGTTACTCCCATTTTGCATCTGTTCAAATGTTATATTTTCAGATTTTTGATGACCAGGAAAAACTAGTGGTTTCAGCCCATTTTATCCCCCCGCCAAGGGAAGTCGCACCTCGGGCTTGGGTGGTGAAAGAGAATATCCCCTCCTTAAGTCGCCCTTATGGAATAATTTATATTACAGTGAACGCAGATATTTCGCCTTTCACCGCTTGCACACAGAAACTAGGAGCGTATATCCTCCATTATGAAATCATCTAGAAGAAATAAAGTAATGCAAGATTCAAACAGAATTAATCCGGCGTGGTGCACTAATAGATACAAGACTTTTTTGCTTTTTTTGTTGTTTTTAAGGCTTTGCTGAGTCTCTGTAGTTTTGTGTACACCTTAACGGAAGCAGTGCATCACGTCTTAAAAATATCAATTAACGCATTTTCCCCACATTTTTTAACGTTACTGCTTCCGATCACCTATTATTGTAGAGATCATTTGTTATACACTTGCATATAGTGTGTCAAGAAACCACTCGCCTTTTGTGCGTAAAGTAACCTCCTTCTTGATATTGGGCTTGTTTTTTCAAGCCTAACGACGCTATTCTGGCTTTTGGCCTCTCATAGCGTTCGCACGCACGTAAACACACAGACACATACACGCTTGCACGTTCAGAAAAAGTGGTAAATGATTTAGAGTACTTGGTACTCTACTATGAGAGAGCTGAATGCCGTTCCTAAAAATAGCTGACGTACAGCTGCAACCACGCTGTAAGCAAAAAAAAAGTTTGCTTATTTAGCTCCTCTTCGTTAAATGTTCTCTGCATTTTATTTCGTATGAGCCCTCTCTTGAATGTTAGTTTCCCGTTCCTTATAAACAGCGTTAGTGCGTGCATGACCATCCTTTTTTATGGCTGCACTTCGGGTATGTTTCAATTGCTTTGAGCATCTCTATACTTTATGCGACGACAACGAAGATGAACAAACCCACACAACGGATGACAAACATGGTCGCTGTTGAGACTACGTGCTCTGCGGCTCGATTGGGCGAAGGCGGGTCAGTGAAGCACATCTGGCTTTGCTCCGAAACGTGTGAGGTGAGTGAACGCAGGCCGAGCACGTTTCTCGCCAAGGTGTCCAAGTGCTCTGAGGAGAAGGCCTGAATTTCAACACAGGAAGACCTTCACGATTGAAGCGGCTGTGAAAGGTGTGAGGAGGACAATGCATTGGCTGGTACAAAAGCAGCCAAACCGTGACAAACTATTCCGAAGTGGGTATAGGCGGTGGAGAATACCTTGTAGCAGCCTGCGAGGCTGAACGCAAATATTTCACGTTATCTTGAACAAAAGGTGTGCACTTGTCCAAATATGACCTTCATGGAAGCAAAGGAACGCTAAATGACACATGCACCTGTGGACGAATACTGAAATGAAAAGATGGGTGAGCCGTATAGTAAGTTTCCATGTGCAATATACAGTACAGGAGGTTTTTCAGAGCTTTAGATTCTTCAAAAATATTGGCAGACCCCACGTGCAATGGCAATTGATGATATGCGAAGCACGAATAAGAAATGTTGATATGTCGCTTTAAAATCAGCACAAAGTTACGAGGTGGAGGTAAATGATGCCGTACATAAATTCCGTGTCATGATTATCATGTTTGGGTGTATCGATTACCTTCGTCGTCTATTCACGACACATGATACCAAATTTAGTACATGTGTAGCTAGGAAAATGGCCGCGAGCACGCTATGAGCGTCCTATGTTGTCAGATTCTGACATGACATGCGTGTTAGGATTAACTTGTTTGCACCTATCATATATTTCGTCATCCATTGGCGTACCGTAACACCAAATTTGCTTTATTTGGAGCTAGTAAAATGACCACGAGCAAGTCATGAAGGACCCAATATACTCCAATGTAGCGTTGGTAAGCGCATATGCTGGGCACAGTGACGCTACGTTAGCAAAACGCGAGCACTCTATACTCTAACGCCAGGCGCGACCGGCGCGACCAGCATCCGCCAGCGCGGCCCGATGGTAACCAGTGCGAAATGCGACATGCTGCAATTCGTGCCGACGCGTTACCTTGACAACACTGCCAGCCCCGCCGCGGTGGTCTAGTGGCTAAGGTACTCGGCTGCTGACCCGCAGGGCGCGGGTTCGAATCCCGGCTGCGGCGGCTGCATTTCCGATGGAGGCGGAAATGTTGTAGGCCCGTGTGCTCAGATTTGGGTGCACGTTAAAGAACCCCAGGTGGTCAAAATTTCCGGAGCCCTCCACTACGGCGTCTCTCATAATCATATCGTGGTTTTGGGACGTTAAACCCCACAAATCAATCAATGACAACACTGCCTCTCCCTCTTTTCGTGTGTGAGGGGCGCCTTACACGCTGAGACGCGCATGCGTCAAAGCAACGCAGCGCGGCACGTGACTGTGAGTCTATGGCAGGACCGGCGCCTGGTGTGCCAACGCCGGCGTGACGCGACGAAATGAACGCCGGCGAGCACGTGCACCGCGTCACGTGGAAATGTATAGGCACCTTCACTGTGGCATATAGTCGTGTTCTCACACGACACGCATTGCGTGATTATCATGTTTGCACCAGTCACATACCTTCGTCATCCATTGGCGTCACGTAATACTAAATTATAAAATACCTCCGTCACGAAAAGAGAGAGACACAGTGTTGTCTGGGTAACCCATGGGCCTATGGCGCAATTATGTAAAAGTTCCAAATCCGGACAAAGGTGGTCTCTTCCATTGAGTCGCACGCGATTGGCCCATACAAGCTGTGACGAATGCTGTGACGTTATGAGTGACGTGGACTGGGGTGTCACGTGACTCTTTTTTTTCGGTTTTCGGAGAAAGGCGAAGGAATGGTCGGAGAGACCGTCCGAAAGCAACCGGATGGATTGAAACGGCTTCAAGGTGGCCTGGATTGGATTGAAATGGAAAAAATGCGCGACTTTTCGGCACCGGGGAACTTAGACAACATGGCGTTTCCCACTGACATGGTACTTCGCCTTGCCTGTGCGGTAGCTTCAACCGAGCAGAGGCGACAACGCGAGGTAAAAGATGCATTTGAAGAGTTCAGCGAAGAAGAGTTCCGGCAATGTTTTCGTCTGTCCAAACGAACAGTGCGTAGCTTGTGCGACGAACTTGACCCTATCATCGGATGCCAGCGAGCCAGTGGCCTTTCCAAAGAGAGAAAGGTGTTGTGCTCGCTGCGATTTTTCGCCACCGGTAGCTTCCAGCTGAGCATTGGTCGCGAGGAACACATCGGCATGTCTCAGCCGGCGGTGAGCAACACCATCCACGAGGTGACGGAGGCGATCATTACCGTGGCTGCTAGAAAAAGGGTGGTGGACTTCCCATTGACCACAGCTGCCAAGGATGAGGCGAAGGCGGAGTTTGCACGACGTGGTTGCATCCCAGGCGTGCTGGCGTGTGTCGACGGCACGTTGGTCGCCATTCGCAAGCCAGAGGGATACAGCCTGGCCGACACGGCGAGTTTCATGTCCAGAAAGGGCTATTATGCCCTGAACGTCATGATCGTAAGTACCGTTCGGATCCTTTCTTACTCGCCCATCGGAGTAGCTGTTCAGTTTTGACGTCGGAGCTGGGAAAAGTACCAATTCAAAGAATAAGGGAGAACATGCGGATAAACGGGTGCGTGCTAGTTGGTGGCTCTTATGGCCTCGGTTATCATAAGTGGCAAGTGTTTGTGTAAGTGAGCCAGTTGTCGTATTTTTTGTCTTCGTTCTGGCATGCATGCGCAATGAAGTTGAGCATTTTGAAGGTAATCAGAATATGGGCTGTAGTCGTAGCAGAATTATACACACGATAGGGAAGTATTTCAAACACGAAAGTACTTATAACCACAATTGCATAGGCTAGCTGTGGTATGTACGAGTGTTCTTTCCCAATAGCATGGCGTAGGTTTTCATTTATCGATCATTCAGTGGAAGTCCTAGCCATGTGTACAGGGGAATGGTCATTGCCCCCTTCCCTCCTCAGTTGCTACACCCTGTCCCTGTGTTCCCCTCTAGGTGAAACTGCATGTACCAATGACTGTACTAGTATGCATTGTTTCCGGCTTATGCGTAGAAAGAAGGGGTTTGTTTGGAGCATAGATGCAGTACTATTTTGTATCACTCATTACAGGTGTGCAACGCACGGCTGCGCATCCTTGTCGTGGACCCACGATTCCCAGGTTCGTGCCACGACTCCTGGGTTTGGGAACACAACCCTTTGCGTTCACGCCTAGCTGCACAGCTGCAGCCTGGCGAATATCTGCTTGGTAAGTATTAATGTGAACTAACTGGGGTAGAGCACTCAGCCGCCATTTTTCTATTGCAGGAGACGCAGGGTATCCCCTCGAGCCATGGCTCCTCGTTCCAGTTCCTGGCAGTCACCCCGGCAACACCTCCGAAGGCCGATTCAACAAGGAGCACGCATCCATGCGCAATGTTGTGGAAAGATGTATCGGAGTGTTGAAGAGCAAGTTCCGCTGCTTGCAGCACTTTCGAACGATGCTCTACAACCCCGATCGAGCAGGGCGAATTATTTATGCCTGCGCTGCTCTCCACAACATTGCATTGGACGCGGGGGACTGGACCTTGGATGAGTATGTTGGGGACATGCCACCAGTTGAGGATGACGATAAGGAGCCAGGAGAGAGCCATGTGCTCACACCCCGCAACGTGCTGCTCAGAGGACAGCAGCAGCGCAGCGCTGTCGTGGGCCTTTTTTGAAGTGCACAGGAACACGGTAAGCTGTCATATCACACACATAATTTATTCATACTAATTCCAGTGCACCCAGGCAAGACAGGGCCGTGTTTGCCACAACACAAAGTACTTACTCGTGCTTCAACATTATGCATGGTGGCAATAGAAAAATGCTGCATTTTTTTTTAAATGTCACATGAATTAGGCAACGGAAACACCCTTTTCTATATCAGTGATCACAGTCACAACAGACTAGATTGGATCAAGCGCATATGAGGGGCACCCTGTGCTGACTGTTGCCATCAAAAGATTGTGGGAACAATGCAGCAACGTCGCACAACTTCTTTCACGAAAACGCATAAAAATTGCAGTTACATTAGAATCATGTTGCAAGAACGCATGATACGTATGTCCGTCTCTTCTCATAGTCATTGACTGCAAGCATTCAATTGTACACATTTAGGCTTGCCGAGCACAATGCCGTGCCGGCTTTTTGTTCATTGTCCTCAACATTGTATAAATATTTAAATAATATTTCATTTGATTTGAATTCCCGACTACAGTTATACTGCAATGCTACAAAATACGTAAATCAAAGCAGCAAATAACATGTGGGTTCTTTTAATGACACACGGCATGAATATTTGGCTCAGCAATCTCGCTGCTCCCAAAGCATACCACGTTCAAAATTAATTCCTGCAATGAGTAATTTACAATGAAAACAGTCGCTGGCATGTTGCTGTGATGATGACCCTTTTCATTAGTGAAACTGTGCGACATACCCACTTGCTAGTTTAGTGATCTCAAAAAAGACTTGGTTGTAGTTGTACCTTAGCCTCATTGCGCTGAAATGACAATATCACAGTGTAAGCAATTTTCGGCAGGTAAACATGCTTCATAAAGAATGCAGCGAGCTGCGAAACAGTGTGAGGCTAAAAAGTATCACAGTCCAACACTATGTGGTAATGCTGCATAAAAAGCGCAGTGAGCTAGAAAACAGTGAGGCAACACAAATATCACAGTGCTAAAAACATTCACAAAAAATGTCAACTATACGCTCTTGGTCTTTGTGTGGATGACTAGACACCTTTAAGATAGTGGGGGGAGGGGGGAGACGCTGCCTCACGAGTAGGTCGAACATAAATTGAGAAACGCATATATCGAACATCAAAATAGATGAAAGACACGTGAAGAAAAAAACGCTGTACTCCTTGTACAAAGTAAATGCTAACTTAAAGGTAGTATAAACCAATAATGCATGATAAACATTTAAAACATTAAAAACATGATGTAAAACTTAAAATAAACGCATATATCGAACATCAAAATAGATGAAAGACATGTGAAGAAAAAAATGCTGTACTCCTTGTACAAAGTAAATGCTAACTTAAAGGTAGTAATATGTATTAAATGTAAAAAACAACGTATGAAATGGTACGCTGACTGCAACACGTAAACATATAAAAACTAATAAACCAATAATGCATGATAAACATTTAAAACATTAAAAACATGATGCAAAACTTAAAATAAACGCATATATCGAACATCAAAATAGATAACTATGTATCTCTTTCCCGCAGAGGGCCCTCAGCCACGGCCCGCTCCTGTGCTGCGGCCGCCCGCTCCTGTGCTGCGGCCGCCCGCTCCTGTGCTGCGGCCGCCCGTTCCAGTGCTGCTACCATACGCCGCCCCAGAGAAGTTAAGTGCAAGGCTGACCTTCTGATCCCCCGCACCTCCTGCAGTGAATCATCATGGTGGAAATGTTTGCATGAGCTGCTGAAGAACTCTCGACCATCTCGTGGCTCGAAGCTGCAGCTGCGGAGAATTGCAACGTGAACAACAATTTCCCCTCAGTTGAAAATTCATTGGCCTGGTGGCATCCTTTGAAAGTGTGAAGCTTCGTGTACAAGCTATGCCCTCTTCGTTTGGATCAACAAACAATTGCTGGAACTACTCTTCATTCATCTCCTCAAATGCATCTCTTACCATCAAACAGCCCTTTTCAGGGCTAACCAACCTTTTGCCCGGCAGTTTATCATTGCAGATGTCAGATACCGTGCCCTCAATACAATGCATGTTTCTTATTTACAGCCCAAGTTGGTTTCAGTCATCATAACGGAGCATCAAAAATGTTCACACCCTTTACGTAAAATTTAAACAAACGGTCTACTCACATCAAGCAACTTCTCAGTCAGCTCGAGGCTCTGGTCGCACTGGGAAGACACCCGCAACAAGGTGTCGGTGCGCCGTGGCCTCTGTCGACGGCGAGGCCGCACAGGAGGCTGAGGCACTGCAAACATGCAGCATTTTCGTCACCGCATGCTGTGGTAGGCTTTAAGTCTATGGCCATGTTGTGGATAATTGGGCAATTCGAATAACATACGAGAGGTTATTTTCTCAAAACACTTTGATGATCAATAACTTACCCGGTGCAGCGGGGCCGCTTTCCAGGTAACTTGGGGGGCCTTCTGTGGAGTAAAGAATAAAAGTTCACGAACTGGGCGCACATACGTCCTATAATCAATAAAACACTAAGTTCTCAGATGCTTACGTGTGGCTGTGTCACTGTCACCTGCTGCAGCCGCTTCAGTGGCTTCCACCTCGACCTCCATTGCAGGAGCGGGAACATCCGCCTGCTGGAAAGTGTCGTGGGCATAATCTTTCAGAAAAAGGGTATTCGTTACTCTGGCTATTTTACAACCTTACCTACTAAACATCTGCGGAAACGTTCTGCAGCTATTCAGGGGTCATTGATATCACGTATTACCATTTTAGTGCATGCACTTGCCCGCAGGCATTTCGTGTCTGTTTGATAAATAAATACGCCTTTTACTGCAAGGGCTGCAAAGCGAGATTTCAGTTGACAAACCTACCTGCTTTTGAATTCTTTTTCCTGCACTATCTTACTGTTCAACAAGGTTCCCCTAAAGGCACCCCTTACAAAATGGGCAAACTCTGTCATGGCACCGCTCAGGAACCCGTGATACTGCGGTGGCAGAGTGCTTACCTGTTGATATTCGAGGGAACCGAAGACGCCACCGAAGCGTGCCAACCCGGTGAGTTGCAACACGCGACCACGGAAGCCTGGCAGACGACCCCCTCCAGTGCCCCTGGAAATATACACCAATGTCAAAGAACAAATCGCCCGCACATTCAACGGTCACTCACGTTTGTGCCTCCTTGATGGCGGCGGCGTCACGGCGGGCCTCGTGCACCTGCCTGCGCCACCAAGCCTGCCACTCATCCACGTTTTTCTGCGCAGGGCCTTCAAGGTTCAGCGCGTCGCTGAGCTCTTGCCACAGCCGCCGCCGGTCGGCGACCGTGACGCCATGCTGCAGCTCAATGGCTTTCGCCGCGAGCTGCGGATGTTCGCTCATAAAGGCGAGCACCAGCGCGCGCTGACCCTCGGAAACGCGGATGAGCCGCTGCTGCTGGTGGCTAGCGGTGCCGTTGCCCTCCGCCATGACTGCGCTCGACTGAGCCAACGGCTTCGAAAGTTGCGCCGTTTAGTAGTGGAGTTTTGAAAACAGTAACTGCTTGAAACAAAGTTGTACCTAGCGCCACCACAAATCGTCCCGCTAAATTTAGCGTTGTTTAGAACAATAACAGAAAAAATACGTTTGGATTGTATCGTATTCCTTATTAAACAATTGAAAACTAGTGCCAACACATTTTAATAGTGCGCAATAATAGTCAAACACTTCTGAACATGTTACAAACACTTTTCACTTTGCTATACGGCCCCCAAGTCAACGTCAAAATGATGACGCAAGCCTCCATTTCCCTCATTGGCTGTTCACTTCCTCTCGTCCTCGCGACCGCTGCGGACCGCCCATTTTTTTGACGTCACCGACAGACCGCCTCCGTCCGGATTTGGAATTTTTAGATAATTGCGCCACTAGAGTAATGTTACTCTATGGCATCGGCACGAAATGCAGCATGTCGCATTTCGCACTGGTTGCCGTCGGGCCACGCCGATGGATGCTGGTCGCGCCTGGCGTCAGACTATGAAGTGCTCGGGTTTCGCTAACGTAGCGTCACTGCATGTGCCCAGCGTGCGCACGCGTCAACGCTACATTGGAGTATATTTGGCCCTTTATGATGCACTCGCGGCCATTTTGCTAGCTCCACATGTACCACGTTTGGTGTTACGTGACGTCAATGGAGGACGAAATGTGTGGCTGGCGCAAACATGATAATCCTGACACGCGTGTCATGTAAGAACATGACAACATACCACGCTCATAGCGTACTCGCGGCCGTGTCGCCAGCTCTACATATACTAAATTTGGTATCAGGTGACGTGAATAGATGATGAAGGTAAACGACACATCCAAACATGATAATCAGAACACGGAAGTCATGTACGGCATCATTTATCTCCACCTGGTAGTGTTGTGCTGAGTTCAAAGTGACATATCAACATTTCTTATTCATGCTTCTCATATGATCGATTCCTACTACGTGGGATCTGCCAATTTATTCTTCTCACTTCACGTACTTTGTTTAACTCAGTTTTTTGTCAGTAATCTATTCCTTATTAGGGCTGGTAGTAGTTGCTTAGAAAATTTTCGGATGTGTACTTTCAATTTATTCAGACTTCCGTAGCAATGGCTGTTTGCAACTCTCTGCGCTCACCACGCGGAAACGTCTGAGAACCTTCAGTATTGTTAAGGATCATTTTGTTAATATTGCACTGAGGACGTGCGTCACCTAGTTCATTTGAGAGCTTATGCAGTCACCAGAGACAACGGTGAAATTATCGATAGCACTTGATAAAAGACAACGGGCTTTGCCACATCTCAGATTCGTCAATGGCTGACACCCTGTTCCATCCTATTAGTGTACAGTGTCTATGGCGTTAGTTTCAGTTTTCATTTCTCGGGCACAGATTTGCCCATGTAATACGTCCCGCCTTCAACAACTTGACTGCTGCTGTCATCTATGTAACAGCAACGTCCTATACATATAATGTCACTGGAGACGTATGAAAGCATATTCAGGAAGAGCTCTTGGAAGTCTGCTGCGGGTGTTTTTAAGGGAATTCTTACAAACACAGGAGTCATGGCGGCATTGCAGCAGTTGCTTTTACTTTATTACATCCATACGGGACCTGGCCCAAAGCAAATCCATGGACTGCTTGACCGTTACAAAAGAAATTGCTGCGTGCATTGAGGAAAAATGAAGCAAGAACGCGCACACAAATTTGCTTTTAAAGCTGGATTTTAAGCAGAGTTTTATCCAAATTGCTTTCTGCACTTTTGTTGCGTATGTATTTTCTTGTACCTGTAGCAGGGCTATTGTAAAATATATTTTCAACAATA